TTCATGCTCCCTACTCTCACAATAATACCATATGAAATTCTAATTTAAATCATGCACCTTTTATTTTCAGAAATGGGCATTATGCCATGGCATAATACATAGTAAGACCAATCTTACTTGTATCATGCTATCTTGTTCTGATTCGATCCAATTTCAACCCTAGCTCAACTTTGGAGCTATCTAATGATCTAAAACATTAATTAACAACCTGAAAACATGATCAAATTAATTAAACATTATTTTTAACTAATTTTTCATTTAATTATCAATAAATTCTAGATTAAAACTTTGGATGTTACACATATTCCCTCTCCTTCCCCTTTTGTGCAAAATTTCTAACTTTTAGGGTAATAAGGCTTGTGATTTTGGTTCCTTTAGGTGTAGACTGAAGCCATTGACTTAGTTAAGGTCTTGGGGAGTTAAATGAAGCCTCTAACCCTAGGTTTATAGGTTTTGTATGGATTTAAAATTTTTAGTTAAGGATTTGAACGAACCCCAAGTATAATTTAGAAGTTTTGGTACAATGTTAGTAAATGGCTGATGATATTAGTGTGTTTGGATGTTAAATAGGAATGTTGGAGTGTGTTGGAAGGGTTGATGTTGTTGAATAAGGATTTTGGATATAATAGGTACCCAAAAATTAGTAATTTTAGGGTCTAAATTGGAGTGATAATTGATAATTATCGCTTAATTATGTAGATTAAGTGTTACTTGAGTGTTATTATGTGTGTGGAACGTGTGGAGTGAACATTAGACCATGGTAACCTTTTTTGTGACAAAAGGATTGATGTAACAGAATAATTTATACTATTTGATTAAAATGCTTAACTATTTGTGAATAGATATGTAAATTTTCTACATGTTATTTGAAAGCATTGCATGTTATGAAATAAGATTTTTGTGCATTAGAAATGATTTCCAAATGATGAAAACTTGTGAAAGTTCCTTATATGAGTTAAATGTGAAATGGATACAAATATCTGATATGTATGAGATGTGTGAGCATGATCATGATAAGGGATGAGAGTTCACCCATAGAAAGGAGTAGTAAAAGCCTATATGGCATGTACCTCCTTAGTGCCTAGAAAGGTATGGTGTTGGAGATTATCACCTTAGTATCTAAGTGGGATACGGCATTGGAGATTGACACTGCTTAGCATCATTAATGTAGTGTTGGAGTAATGACACCCCAATTCGTGTGTGATAGGGGGAAACTATAGTCTGAAAGTTAAATAGGACACCTTTTGTTGAGTAATCCTACCACAAAAGGTGAGCTTGAACTATTGTAAATGTGTACTTAGTCTAAGAGCCTATGGTTTAAGTCGGGGTGATATAAAGGCTCGGATCGTAGAATAATTATGCTTGAGTGGAAATGACTTATGTTTTTTGAAAAGGATATGTTTGAATATGTTAACTGAGTATTTTTTATGTATATAAGTTTTAATCGCTTCTAGTTGTGCATGTTAATTAATAGTAGTGAATTATTCTATTACTGAGATATTTATCTCACCCTATAGTTATTTTTTATAGGTGAGGGCTCTGGTAGGGATAAAGGGAAGGAAGGAATGAGTAAAAAGTGAAGAGCTTCATTTGTATAGCTCTTCCCTTTTCATATTCTAGTTTTGTAATAAATATGTTATGTTATTATGCCAACTTAGGAGCATTTCATTGTTTTGCTATCACTTGCATGAAAATTCATGGAATGTGTGTGTATCTTGGCCTAATTGATGTGCTTGTGGTTAAATGATTGGGAATGGCTAAGATACTAGTGCAAGTGATATACTTGTGTTAATTATGTGTTGTAGTAATGGTTAAAATGACTTTTATGATGAATGTTATCCATCCCTTTATATTGTTGTGAATTTGGGTTTTAGTGGTCATTTTGTGGTTGGGCTGCTATTATTGTTATATGATAGACCTATTATGTTGTGTATGGTCCATTTAGGTTGGTCTAAGTGATTCCAAGGCTATTGGCATAATGTTGTGTGATTTGGACACTCATGAGTATGTTATGTGTTGAAAACAAACTATTTTGGGTTTGGGAGTCTAACTTTTTAATAATTAAGAATTTAGGTATGAGACCCATGTCAATAGTTAGAGGGCTCGAAGAGCTTCGTGTGGACACTTGAAATGCTCAAATTGAACATTGCATGGCAAAATAGTGCACTTCAAAATTTGGTTTAGAGTGCTGTCATGATAACAAGTGTGCACTGTAATGCATTGCAATCGTACCATGGCGCAAATACAAGTGAGAGTCTCAGCTCTTTGTGCCATCCGTCAAGGCGGGTAAGGCTTGTGCTATGGTGGACAGGTCAGTTTTTGGAAAATTTCTAGAATATTGATTGTTTTCAAGTGCTGCTTGATTTTCATGCTTATGTGACTTTGTTTAACATATTTTAAACTATAGTTTGAGTTCAAACGGCTTTTTAAAAGGGTTTTCTTGAGATTCTAATTTTTTAGATTACTTACTTTTAAACCCTTAGGTTGTGTTGACTTTTCTTAAGGATGATGATTAATCCTAGTTATCACGACAGTGTTAGAGTATTGTCCTAGTAATGTCAAGGCAGACATTACAGATATCATATCAATTTTATAATTTAAATTTATGAGATAAATTTGAATAAGATATGATATCATAGATTAAATTTATGAGATAAATTCAATTAATTTTTCATGGGCTCATAAGGGAAAACAAAAACCCTAATCTACATAAGATAGATAGGGACGATTTTTTAAGTGAGTAAGTCTCTTGACAACAAAACTTTGAGAGCCATAAAAATACCCTAGAAAATAAAAGGAGCGTCTGATTGATAAATGGACGGACATACATTAGATATGGAGAGTGCTAGCACGCTGTTCGTGTATATACTAGTAAAGGGAGTAGATTTACGTTATCAACTCCTGATATCTAAATACTTGAAGAAAACACATGAGGTGTTCAAAAATAAAGGTAACTCTTTTATCAATCTTGACTTAAACGAGTTTGATCGATCTGCGATCGCAGTTGAGGTTTCAAATTTTAATTTTTCATTGTGCCTCCTAATCCAACAGCTTTCTCATAGCAAGTTAGCCTAACACTTTATACACTTTCAAGTGCCTATGACTTTTGAGTTATATCTCTATAATTAATCAAAGTCATACCAGTCTTATTTCATTTATGGTCTCTTATAGATGACCAACCAGGGACATTTAGGACAATCACTATAGTTGGTCCAAGGATACAGTTATCATAGTAAACAAGCAATTAATATGATAATAAAAGAAAAATTCATTAAATAACAATGTTTATAGTATAATAATTGGCCCTAGGGCACAATTTTCAACAAACAATTCATTTAAAATTAACAGTAATCGATTTTGGTTTTAACAAGTTAGAAAAACTAATAAGATTAGCTTAATTGTATGTTTTGGTCATTTATTAACAAGTATCCATTCGTGTTTTAACACAACCTATTTGTAATTAACAACAACACATTCGGACTTTTAACAAATAAAATGCATAAAGTTTTAAAGCTCTAAATTTGTAATTGTCCATGTCAGATCAACAAGTAATATTTGTAAAATAACAAATTCCGTTCATAAAATTAACAAAGCACCATTATGTTATGACATGAAAGTGATTAGAAACTTAATTTACTATTTATATATATATATATATATATATTGCTATATGCAATTAAAGGGCTTGGTGGCCAAGCTTTTTAGGTAGCTAAGGGTTCAAATCCTCCCTTGGCCACCTAAATTAATTAGTCTTTAAATAAAAATATTGCTGGCACCGGAGCTTCAATGATTGGTTACCGGCAGGGTCTTTGGCGACCTTGCAACCAGCAGGGGTCCAGTGACCGGAACCAGTGACAGTGAGGGTTTCTTTGTTTCTTTTTTACTTGAGGGGCAATTTGGACTTTTAATTTTAAAAATTAATATCAATCAAAGACCAAGGAGCTGCAGTGCAATTTTGAAGTCAATTGATTCTTGACTGATATTAATATTCCTCAACAATCCTTCAATACTATTTTCCCTTCTTTTTTTCCCTAGCTTTTATTTTGTAATATTTTTTGCACCCGTTTTTTAACCTTCCCTTAGTTTTTTTTTTTTTTTGAGATTATGAACTCTCAATGCAATAAACGGATTTTACCGTTTTGCATTCTCCAACCTCACTCTTACCGCCTTAATCTAATTTGGCTTTTTACTCCAAAATAAATGACACTCTCCTACCAAACCGAATTATATATTTATATAAATATATACTCTCTTTATTTAAAAATATAAGATATTTTTTAATAAATTGAATATTAAAAAATATAAGATATTTTTAATTTTTTGAGGTGTAATCATTATTTTTTTTTCAAAAATATCCTTATTGATAAATAACTTTATATTTATTGTAGGATGTTTAATAAGGGTAAATATAAAAAAATAAAGTTAATTTAAAAGTAGGTAACTACTTTATTTGGAGGTAAAATTCTGTTAAAAATGCCTTATATTTTTGAATGGAGGGAGTATTACTTTTTCATTTTTTTTAAATCTACACTAAAAAATTCAACAAAACTCAATTTTTTTTATGCCAAAACAAAACTGTGTTATTCTACATCAGATAATGAACTATAATTATATATATAACTTATTAATAAAAACAATAATATATAAATAATATTAAATGTCATTTTCTTGACATTGACTAAATAAATTATTTAAAAACTATATACATTTAACTGACTATATTTTAAAAAAATTATATTATCTTGAATATGTTTTTAATTTTTAATATATTTCAATTCAGAAATTTTAGTGTATATTTTATTTCTAAAATTTTTCATTTTTTCAAACTACACAACACATTTCAAAAAAGTACAAGACCTCTTAAAGTTCCATGTCCTTTCGCTTGTCACGTGAAGTCCATAATTGCTGCTAAAGACTTGACTTTGGTCGACGCGGTCACACGGACTCGGAGTTTCCCAAGCTTCTATAATTTCCGTGTCATCTATCTTCAATTCACCACAGTACTGAATCATCTTCTAATCTCTTCTCTTCACAACTTACCTTCATTTCTGTCTTTCACGACTCTGAAACTATTTAACTTCCAACATTACAGTAACACGCAAATGAAGGTAAGAACTAGACCCTGCTCATTCAAACTTCCAAGCCTGAATGAATATTTGATTCCCTTTACATTTGATAGCTGCTTGATGATTTATCTCCTGGCAGAAAATAGTGTTGAAGGTGGACTTTCACGCTGAGAGAATCAAGCAAAAGGCCACGAAAACAACCTCAGGCATTTCAGGTATATATATATATATATATTCAATCAAGCCAAACTCTCGTGAAGTTCAAATCAAGAAACAGAGCAAAACCCAGATCATGTAAAGCATCAAAAACTAACTAGATTAAGCTAATAGAATCTTGTGTTTCATTAAGTCTTTAGAGTAAAAAAATTACGCTGCAAGAGTTTTAAAACCAAACTTCACTCAAGTTTAGATTACATAATTGCATGCCTCTCAGAAAACTAAGGGGAAAAATTGACTGTTCTGGTTCGGTTTTACAGGGGTTGAGTCAGTGAACGTGGACACGAAGGACAAGAAATTAACCGTCATGGGAGACATCGACCCAGTTAACGTGGTGGGAAAGCTAAGGAAGTTGTGTCGTACAGAGATAGTGTCAGTGGGACCAGCCAAAGAGTCTGACAAGAAAGCAGAAAGAAGATAGAGAATATAGCTAAAGCGATTGTGCCAGCTCCTCTGCTACAGCCATGTTTATTATCCGCCACCCCGTTATGTTGGAACTGTGGATGAGTATCCTAATAGTGACTGTGTCATCTGCTAAACTTTGAACGCATGAAAGTGGTGAAGAAAATAGAGAAATATGGGGAAGTGTATGGTTTTGAGAATAGAGTTGTGGTGCTTTGTCCTCTTTTTTGGTTAAAAAAAAAAACAACTTAAAAAAAAAGACTATAGGTGTGTGTGTATACTATGTAACATCCTCTCTCCGGTGTTTAGAATTATTTTTGGATTGAAAGATAATATAGCTCGTGTTTAAGATAGTTTTAAATAGTTTGGAATTGAGGAAAAATTGTGACATTTAAGTTTTGTGACTTAATTAATGTGAGGAAAAAATTATTCTATGAAAATTTGAATTTACCATATAATTGTTTGAGAAGAATTTACTAAAAATGAAACAAATTTTGAGGATTAAATTACAAGACATATTTTTAAGGAAGGAAAAAAATTATGAAATTGAGTGATTATATAAGTAGGAACTTAACTTTTCTTAATTTAATAAATTTTATTTATTTAAATATTATTTAAATTATATTGAAACTAAATACAGTTAAGATTTCCTCTTTAATTTTTAAAAAGAATCTTGATTAATAATAAATATATTATACTGGAAGATTTAAAGTATCTACTGGTAGGAAGTAAAAACTCTTTATATATATATATATATAAAACGTGAAAACTCAAAAAAAAAAAAAATAAGAAGAAGAGACAAATAAGATTAGGACCGAAAAAAGAGAAAAAGATAAATAAATAAATAAAAAGTAAGGATAGTTTTTTTTTTTTTTTAAAGAAGAAGCAGGAGGAGGAGAGCATAAAGGAAAAAAAAGAAAAATTATATTGAAAACCAACGGTGGGCACCATTGGTTTTGAACTGCGAGTCCTGGGCAATTTCTTTTTCGCCTTGCGGCGGCATTGCCTGGGCAAGCTCCAGCGGACAGAGCGATGCGCAGACGAGAGATTGGAGAGCAGTCCTATCCAGATATTTCTAGACTGGATTGAAGTTTCCTATGAGCAAGTGTTCTAAAATTTTTATTCTAACTACTTTCACTACATTTATGTAGATTTAAAATTAGAGAGATATCCTAGAGATTGAATAAAGATGTTGAATGGTGAGTCTAGATCTATTTTGAATTGACAGAAAAAGCTTTAGAAAACTTTAGATAACTTTGAATAATTTTTTTTTTTGCAACTTTAGTAAACAAGTTTATTACTAATTGGAATTTATTTTATTATTTGGGGATGGGAATTTAACTTATTAGATACTTAAGATTATTAAAACGTGCTCATGAGCACTTTAAAGTTAAAAAGGTAATGATTAATAGAATTGATAATTCAGACAGGTCGAGCTTATTCAAATCAAGCTTAAAGTTTGTACCCCTTTAAAAAAATTCATATAGTCAAATTCGACCCTAATTTTTTTTCTAGCGAGTTCAGGTTGGTTCGAATTACTAACTCTAATAATTAATAAGATTTAGAGATGCTTTGGGGAATCTTTAGGAACTCTAAGGTGAGAAATAGATAAAATAAAATGAATAGAGTTTAATAAATTAGTTTTAGAGTTACACAAAACTTCAATGAGTACTTTACTTTGAGGTAACTTAAGAGTAATAAATAATTAAATATAAATTTTATGTGACTCTAATTTGTTAAATTATTATTTGTAGAACTGCTCACGTTGAGTTAGTTGAAAGATCTCTTATAAAGAGACATTGGGTTCTTTGGGTGAATTTGAGTCTAAATAACTTCTTTTAGGTCACTCTATATGTATGATTTGGTAGGCAGCTATTTTTATAATACTTATAATAAATTGAATCTAATATGAGCATGTCTATTATAACATATTTGTGAAAACTCGATTTAGTGATGATAGAAAGAACTTGGAACTGGGAATGATATGCTGCTTAGTATAACCCTTTATAGGAGTGCTACTTGATTTGAATTGTATGAAAGTTAGGACTGGATAGATGATACTACTTGTGATATAAGCTAGCTCATGATTGATTGGCATGTGTTAACTCTTATTTGTGACATTAAATTTTGTTTATAATGACTAATACATAACTACTATGTTACATGTGTATGTACAGGAAATAAACTATCATGAGGTGGCTGCAGGTGATAGGTTAAACTAAGGAAATAAAGTTGGACTGTGATCATGCACTAGGAGGCTCATAGTTGTACTTGAGCTACCCCAAGCCTTTTGACTAGGATTTGGTTAAGCTTGGTACCATTTAGACACGCCTTATAATTGGAAAAGGGAGATTAAGGCTTAGTATGGAGTAATGGGGTCTTTGCCCGATATCATCCCCATCACCTAAAATCTCAACATGAGAAAATAAGGAGAAGATGAGGAAGGAAATAGAGGATAATAATGAACATTCTGACTATCTTATTGTTTTTGATGAGTTTTTATAATTACTTATAAATGGAAAATAGATCATATGATGATTTTGGTTATCATTTTTTGTTGTATGAATTCTAAGATTATGGTTAAATATATTCTAGCATGCTTGTACAACTCTAATATTGAATATATTAGATTCTTCCTTGTCAAGCATGTCAATTATATTAATTGTTGACTTAAAGGGTAATGATTTCTTTTGTTCTACGTTATGAGAATTATGTTGAAGTGATTATTTGTGAAAACTCATTGGACCAAATTACTTACCAGTCATGGATACACTGTAACATCTAAGAGGTTACTAAGACTTTATCTCACCCCCCTTTTATTTAATTGTTGTAGGAATAGTGAGCTGAGCCTTGACCAGGCAACAGGGTCTATCTTTTTGAATAAAAAGATAGACCCTGTTGCCATACTTAGGATCTACATTTTAGTTTTATTTTAATTTAATTCAACTTTATTGCATTATGAGATTTATTATGAATTGTATGTTCTTTTTGCTGGAAATTGTGCCCTAGGGCCAATCATTATACTATGCATATTGTTATTTAATGAATTTCTCTTTTGTTATCATAACAATTGCATGTTCAATATGATAACTGTATCTCTAGACAAACTATAGTGATTGTCCTAAATATCCTTGGTTGGTCATTTTTGAGGGATCATAAATGAAATAAGACTAGTATGACTTTGATTAATTATAAAGATACACATTAAAATCATAAGCACTTGAAAGAGTATAAGGTGTTGGACCGACCTATTATGAGAAAGTTGCATGGCACAAGTCATAAGCTTATCTCATATGTAACTATATCATTAAGCCCTTTGACCTGAAATCATCATGGATTCCTACATGATGACCACTGAACTTTGACCTAGTCAAATGTCACCTTTAACCGGGTGATCATAAAGGCTATGATTAAGTTTAGTGATATTCATGCAGAGGAATATGAGTGGTCAAGATGGAATTTGTCCCTCACATTAAGTGAGAGATATTACTGGGCCCTTCGATGAGTAAGACTGAGAAAATATATGGCCATACTACAATGGAAAGGGTTTTTCCATTGCTACTGTCAGTCTACTCAGAGATTAAGAAAGTAACGGTCAGGTAAAGGAGAATGACAATTTCATGTCTTGTACTTGACCGAAATATCATGTGATAAAAGGGATGTGATATGATTGCATGATAGGTTACATTAGATTATCGATCCCCATGTGAATTGGGTAGTTGCAATATCTTGCTAGAGGCCACTTGTGACTTGTAGGCTAATAGCATAATTAGCCTACTGCCAATTTCATATGGGCCTACAGGGTCGCACACAAGAACAACCCAACTCAAGCTATGATGTCTAAATTCATTGAATCTGGAATATGTCTAGATTCAATGAATGTAATATAGGGTGAATGAATTTATATATATATATATATATATATATTTGAATATTTATTTGATAAATATATATATATATTTATATGAAATATAAAATTTAAAATATAATTATATATATATTTGAAATATACATAATCATATATGTATATATCAGATATGTATATATATATGATATATGAATATGATATATAAAATTAAATATAGATAATATATATAGATATTTTCAAAATATATATGTATATATATTCGTATATATATAATATAAAATGTATATATACCATAATGACGATAGACCTCTACCGTCAAAGGTTCGACCAGCAGAGGTGCGACATCGCTAGATACCTCAGGGCTACTTTTTACGCATGTTGCTTCTCGACAACTACAACCACCGTAGATCCTACCCGCTTGGCTATCCTGGGGATAAGAGTCCATGCTTTGTCGCTATCTCACACAGTGAGAACTCCCCATGGATCTGGATGCCTCTACTTTTATAGGATGAGGACTTATAACCATAGTAGCTCTGATACCATAACAACAACAGCTGGCTATGTATTGCTACAGGGTTTGACTGACATTGATTCGGGTCATAGCAGAACATGAAAGGTTCTTAGTCCTCTTTCATACTGAGATTAACAAGTCGGCAGTCTCCAAAGCCTGGCTATAGACCTTTCACAGAACCACTTCCTTCAGACCAGTACAGCACAGCCTTCCTTCATTTCCTATTGGAGGTGTAGCCATAACAACACATAACCAGTAATTCTCCTTACAGGATCATTGCGAAAATCTAAAACTTTTGTTAAGCACCAAATAATAATCCCCCCTTAACCCCTAAAAAGAAATTACTCAGCCATACTTGTTAATCTTCAATACTTGCAAAGGTATAAATAATTGAAGCAAATACTTTTATTGATATTGATGAGGCAGGGTTATAAGGATGGAGGCAGAGAACTCAAGTGCTTAGGAAAGCTCCAAGGTTCTCATAGATGTGTGTCGGCTCAGAGATTACATAGCTTTATATAGAGTTAGCATTCCAACCCTAGTTACATAACCTTAGTTAATTTAACCCTAATAATTACAAGAAAACAAAACTACTTTTGACAAAATAAAAAAAGTAAGAATACAATATAGATTTAGACTTCTTAGGCTTTTTGACAAAATGAAAAGTTAAAGGAATCCTTTACAAGAGACAATATAGGTTTAGGCTTCTTTTTAACTCTTAGAATTTTTGACTTTTTCTTTCACCTTCTTCAATCTTCTTCTTTACTTGTCGGCAGATTAATCTAGAATATTCATGTTGATAGAAGGGTCTTCATAGTCTTTGTCAGCTTCTCTTTTCACATCACAATATCTACATTTATGGATAGCATATTCTGACAATACTTGACCTATTTTCTTCTTTGTCCCTTCATCATTATCCATCAAATTATTTCTTAGTCTTTGGTACCAATTATTAAAGCTTCTTGAATTTTTGCTATTTTTTCCTACTAAGAAAATATATGTTATAGGACCAGTGAAATATGTCCACTGTTCTTCTTCTGCTGTAGTTGTCCTATTGAGTTCCC